TTTCTTATAGTTAAAATGAAATAACTAATCAATTTATATTTTTTCTTTCTCCAACAACTACTTTTTTTTCACATGGTTTTTTGGTTATTTAAAACAACAAAATACTTTATATTATTAAACTTTGATATGGTTCATATATTTATTTATTTCAATTTTGTTAAAAGATATTAATTTATAAATTAGATATTATTGAGGATGTAAAATGATATACGTAGATTATAAAATCGGGGATTAATTCATAGCTAAACATGCATCCGATAAATATTTTAAATTTTTAATGTTTGATTCATACATTTATTTAATTAATTTTTGACAATACATAACAAATAAAACACATTTCTATTTCATTTCTAATTTGGTTATTAAGTTTTAGATAGTTAACTAAACTATCTATTTTTTAAAAATTGTTATACAAAATATTCCATCTTACAAAAATTACTAGACTATCAGTCATTTAAGTTATCTAATTACATGATTTTCTTACTTATCGAAAATAACTACTTATTACTCTTTTCCTTAACCAAATATAATGTCATGTTAAACTTGGGGTCTCATTTAAAATATATGAAAATTATGTGTGCATTATTTGTTTGTAGGGTAGAGGAAAAATAAGTTGAATGGAAAACATCGAAGAGGTCGGTGAAGTTCGTTTACTTGTTTCACGTCTTGCACGTTTTGAGAGGCGCCATAAACTCAGAGAAAAAAGATTGCTACCTTTACCCACCTCTCAGTTACATGTAGTTCAAAAGGTTATATGTCAATGTGCTAGACTTCGTAGAAAAATTGAAATTATTAATCAGTTATTACTTCCAAATCCAGAGAAGACACAATTAAAAGTTCAATGTGTTAAGACATTCATCGATCAAATTCCAAGGTTTTGGAATTTAGAAGGTATTGAAAATGTCAGTCTTTTTTTACATTTTAAACTTGCAGACACACACACACATATATATTTATATTATCTAACTGGTCACTTTATTTATTTATTTCTTCTTATAATAAATTACTTTCTTATTTAAATGTGTTGAAATTTATAATTTTTTGAATTTTGATCTATTTTGTGATTAAATTTTTTTACTATAACACACACACACACACATACGTATAGATATATATACACACACATACGATAAAAATTATAATGATAATTAGTTTTTTATATTTATCTTTTTTTTATAATCGCTTAATTTCTTATTCAAATAGATTGAAACTTATGAGGTTCATGATTTTGATTTGTTTTCCAATCTAGCAATTTGGGCAATGGAGGTGGATGCACAAAGAAGTATTCAAACTTCGACTATCATGGAATCAAGCCGAAATACTGTTATCCACGAAGGTATGTCTGTTAACTTTGTGAATAACATTTTTAAGTTTAATATTTATAAAATAAAATCACAGCAATCAATTTTTCCTAAATTCATAAATAAAGGGTAACTGTTGGTTTTTATCTTTCAATACATAATTATTCTAATTACCAACCATCAACATTCCCTTTATTTATTTAATCTATCCTCGAAATGTGGGTTTTGCATTAAATAACTTAAAATTGATGCTAAACAATTGCATGAAGATTAAAATTTAGTTTTATTATAAAATTTGATGAAAAAGTCGTCATCACCACAATTGTTGAACCTTTATGTCCTAAAGTGTTAGTTCTTATTATTACAATATTGATATTTCAATTTTCCTAAAAAATTTACTATAGGAAAAGACAAACTAATTCAAAACTCAAGATTGGTTGGTTATCTTTTTTTATTTTTCATCTACAAATTGAATGTAATTATATTAATTACCAAAGCTAATTCAATATAATACATTTATAATTATTTATGTATATCTTAATAAAAAAAAAATTAACATGTTTAATCTTATCAGAAAATTCTGCAACTCCTTGGAATTTTGGTAAACCGAATCACACTTGTAACGCTCCAACCCACAGATTGCATGTAACACATATTTCACACCAAAGAAATACATATTCATATACATCTGGGTCCCTTAGTACAAGAATACTATCATGACCAAATACAAGGTCCAAAAATTCAAAATACAATCTTGCACTAAACAACAAAACTAATCATCAAAAGCAATTCCTCATCCGAAAAGCATATAAGAAAAGCATTAAATCTTTTCCTTTCCTTTACCTTCTACACCTCCTGCAATACGCATTTTAAAATCATAAAAACGAGGGTTAGACTGAAGAGTCTAGTGAGTTATACCAATCATGTAATTGCAGGGTGAAGGATCACCAAAAYCTTTATAAAACAACTATTCATATATACATAACAATATATGAGTACACAAGAAGGTAATAACAAATTATCTTCCACATTCAAGCTAACCACGCAGCTATACAAATTCCATACCTTTAAACCAATCGGGTTCCATTTAATATCATTTTAAACCTTTTCTTTATTAAACGAGGTTTAAACAAAGATTCAGATCAAACCTGACGTTTCCTTCTCTATAACATTCAGACTATGATTTCCAATAAGAACCTTGATCCTGAATTTTTAAATCACAAAGAAATAAAGATTCCAGACCACGATAGTCTTAAGGGATATAATAGAAAGAGTTATATAATACCACACACAGACAATGCCACCCTTATAACAAATGTACACCTCTTCTTGATATGCCACCCTTATATCAAATGGACACCTCTCCTTGATATGCCACCCTTATATCAAATGGACACCTCTCCTTGATATGCCACCCTTATCACTTCATCAATTGGACACTTCTCCTTGATATGCCACCCTTATCACTTCATCAAAACTTTATAAAATAATTCCGAATAGATCGCAGTCATTGGAATTGTTATCAGTTTGAAAACATTTATATCAAAACTTCATTTTTATGATAAAATAGTAATTTCTTTCTAAAAACATGACATCATCTCAAATCCGGTCAACAAATCAGGTCAACAAGTCCGGTCAACAATTGTCCGGTTTAAATACTTGGAATAAAATCCACTTTGTCCGGTCAGCATACCACATACTCTTTGAACGGTTTATACTTGGAACAAATTCATATTTGAACGAATATCAAATCCGGACAACAATCCGTTCAAGACTTGTCCGGTTTAAAAATAAACCAATCCCCATGTGGTCGTATTCCTACTTCTCAGTATAAAATTTTAAGTAATACTACCAATTATAAACCGCTCAACACTCAACCGGTTTACTAACTCCGGATAACAAAACCGCTCATGGCTTGTCCGGTTTAAACTAGTCCGGTCAATAAGCCGCTTAAGGCTTATCCGGTTTAAAAACAATCCGGACAATGAACCGCTCAAGGTTTATCCGGCTTACATTAATCCTGTCACTCTTTATCCGGATAAACACTTAGACACTATAATCAAGGTTTCTTTATAAAGGATAACAATACGAAGCATGCAAAACCAGTAAAATCTTTATACAAAAAGGTTTAGAAACCACTCACATTATAAAGTTTTTGAAACCAAAATGCTTGAAATCAATCCTTTTGAAACTTGACACTTGCAAATCGGCTTGAAATCAACACTTTTAGAAAACCGGACAACACTTCTTAAAACCTCTCAATTTTCTCAAAATAGCAGGAAAAGTAAAKGAGGAGGTGAAGCCCCTTTTATACCTTCCAAATATGGAAGGTCGGCTTAAACCGTCTTCCTTCCCCCCCTTCCACCTCATGCATGAACATGCATACACATACATACATCCATGCATATAATAATCATATATATATATATATACTTACACAAAAAAAATATATATATATATATATATCCAATTAATTCACAAATTCTAATACCGGCATGTATTAAACATATCAGTTTATCATGCTATCATGCAATCATTTAATCTTATAATCACGTATTAAATACCTTGGGTAATAACCAGGATCCGGTTATTACAACACTTGTGGACAATGTGGTGCCATCATGTGGTACGAAGAAAGATCTCGAAAGGAGAGAAAAACATCTAATCCAAAGTTTATGAGTTGTTGCTCGGAGGGAAGTGTCAAACTACCATTGCTTCCCGCAACACCACAGACACTTGATTACCTTCTTTCCTTAGAATCTGGGAAAAAAGGCGTCAATTTCCGAAAAGATATAAGAACTTACAATTCAATGTTCGCATTCACTTCGCTCGGATGTCGTGTGGATTCCAAGATTAATTGTGCGAAAGGTCCCTACATCTACAGGGTTAGTGGCCAAAATTTTCATATGATTGGTTCTTTGTTACCAGAAATTGGGAAGAAACCTTAATTTGTGCAACTATATATCTATGACACTGAAAATGAGACAAATAACAATATTGAAGCAATGAGAAGGCAATTTGGAGTTGACGGCCTTGATCTTCAAATTACACAGGATCTGTCTACAATGTTAGAAGAACACAACGTGTTAGTACATTCATTTCGCATGGCAAGGGACAGATATATGTGTGAACCGAATATTTTTTTTCGATTAGAGATCATAAACAGTCGCACAACGGATGGCCGACAGTACAATCTAAATGATAATGAAGTTGCAGCCTTGATTGTTGGTGACCTGAGCGAAAACAATTTCGAGTGTGATGTTATTGTTGAACATCATACAACTGGACTTCAACGGATTACTGATCTCTATTCGTTTTTTATGTCGATGACATACCCGTTAATACATCCTTACTGTGAAGATGGGTTCAGGCAAAATATATTACTCCAAAACATGGACGGATCTTCTTCAAAGAGACAATTTGTAACAATGCGACAATACTATTGTTTTCGTTTGCAACAACGATCAAACGAGGGCCATACTCTTCTTCATGCAGGTAGGCTTCTTCAACAATATATTGTCGATGCTTTATGACGATTGAAGAAGGAAGATTTCAGTGAGTTCGTAATAATCAAGATCAATTACGAACATATTTATTTTCTGGGTTGATGGATGCCATAAATCGTGGTGACACATATGGAAAAAAAATCGGAAAGTCAATAATACTACCCTCATCACATACCGGTAGTCCAAGGTACAGAGTTCAAAATTACCAAGATGCCATGGCAATATGTAAGTGGGCTGGGTACCCGGATATTTTTCTGACATTTACTTGCAACCCCAAATGGTCAGAGATAAATGAAATGCTCCAGTGAAGATGATCCAAATCAGGTTGACATTGTAAGCAGGGTTTTCGAAATAAAGCTCAAACAGTTGATGGCGGACTTAAAAACAAGAAAACCATTCGGAACGGTAATTGCATGTAAGTATCAACTGTTTACTACAAGTTGTCGTTTTGTCAAACATGCAATTAACTTTCACATTTGCATGTATTTTTTTCATCATGCATAACAAACAACCATGTCTTTTTTTTTACCCATGTTTATATAGCATTGAGTTTCAAAAGAGAGGTTTTCCTCATGCGCACATATTACTTTTCTTGGAGTCGTCATGGAAAAACCCATCAATAGATCATATTGACAGGATCATCATAACCGAGATTCCAAATCAAATTATCGATCCAGATGGGTTTAACGTAGTAACCAAATTCATGATTCATGGTCCATGCGGAGATCTCTATCCATCATCCCCGTGTATGTTACAGAGCAAATGCTCTAAGTATTTTCCCAAAAAAAATTGTCTCGCACACAATAATTGATCAAGATGGATTTCCAATATACAGAAGAAGAGATACAGTAGCTTTTGTGGAGATGAAAACACATAAGTTGGACAATCGATATGATGTACCTTATAGCAGAGATCTGATTTTTAAATTCGATGCTCATATCAATGTTGAGCTTTGTAATCATTCGAGAGTCGTGAAGTACCTATTCAAGTACATACATAAGGGTTCTGATAGAGCTACTGCTACAGTTTATTCAACAAACCCGGATGATGACCATGATGAAATAAAGACATATTTAGATTGCAGATGCATTTCGGCTGCTGAAGCATGTTGACGTATTTTCCAATACGATATTCATTTCAGATATCCAGCAGTGGAGCGGTTACCTTTCCATCTTCCAGATGAACAACTGGTTGTTTTTAACAAAAATGATAACCCGAAGTTGGTAGTGGTCAAACCTGGAGTAAGTAGAACAAAGTTCACAGAATGGCTCGAAACCAACAAAAGAAATCTCAATGCCAGAGAACTTAGTTACTCAACATTCCCAAAACACTAGGTCTGGAGTGCAAGAGATGAAATATGGAAAAGATGTAAAACGGGCATATCAATTGGCAGAATATATTTCATTCATCCGTCAAACGCGCATGCTTTTAAACTTTGTAAAAGGATGCACTTCGTACGAACACATTCGAACAATGAATGGCAAAACATATCCTTTTTTCAAGGGAGCTTGCTATGCTCTTGGATTGTTAGATGATGATGATGATAATGAATGGGTTGATTGCTTAACAAAGACAGCAAATTAGGCAATTGGTCACGAGTTGCAACATTTATTTGTCAAAATTCTTGCAAATTGCCAAGTCTCAAATATACCAAATATTTGGAAAAGAAATTACATATCATTGTCCGAAGATATAGCAACACTACAACGTAAAAAATACAAAGCACATGGCATGCAACTAACGGATGATCAAATTGAAGCTCACACATTGTTCGAGATCGAGGCAATCGTGTTGAAAATGGGAAAAAGTTTAAAAGACATAGATGGAATGCCACTCCCAAATAACGAACTGTTACGAGAATTTCGTAACAGATTGGTCAACGAAGAACTTGACTATTATACCAAGGATTTGAAGGTTACTCATGACATCTCATTTTCCAGTCTCAATACTTGCTAGAGAAGAGCTTATGATGCCATTCTTGCATCAATGTACAAAGATCGAGGAGACTTGATTTTCATTCACGGTCGTGGAGGAACGGAGAAAACTTTTCTCTGGAATACAGTCGTATCAAGACCTAGATCAGAAGGAAAGATAGTATTACCGGTTGCTACTTCAGGCATTGCAGCTTTGCTACTACCAAATGGAAGAACGGCTCATTCAAGATTCCGAATCCCATTTGATTTAATTGCAGAGTCAACTTGCTAAATTCGTCACGGCACACATATAGCCGAGTTACTTCAACAAACGACATTGATTATTTGGGATAAATCCCCTATGACACATAAACACTCCTTTGAAGCAGTGGATAAAAGTTTGCGTGACATAATGAGTTGTCGTTATGAAAATAGTAAAGACAAACCATTTGGTGGACTCACAATTGCTTGTAGTGGTGACTTTTGGAAAATTTTGCCAGTAATACCAAAGGGAAATCGAGCCGACATTGTGAATGTTGCACTAAATTCATCTTATTTGTGGCTTTGGTTCAAAGTATACGAGCTCAATGAGAATATGTGTTTGCAATGCAACACTTTGTCACCGACAGATATAATAAATATTAAGGTGTTTGATTCATGGATGTTACAAATTGGAAATGGCACTGCCTATGATGATGTAACAAATGAATTGCTAAAGTTGCCTGCTGGCATCTTCCTATAAACAGTTGGCAACCCGATTGAATCAGTCGTTAAAATGATATATCCTTCTCTCTTGGAAAACTATAATAGTCCTTCATATAACTGAAAGGGCAATTCTCACGCCAAAAAATGATATGGTCCAAGAATTGAACACATTTATCATGGACATGCTTCCAGGAGAAGGAAAAACATATCTAAGTTCAGACACGGTTTGCAAAGGAAGTGTACAAACAAATGATGAAGACCTCCTTTATCCAACTGAATTCTTAAACAGTTTGCAATTCAATGGCGTATCAAATCAAGAGATTCAGCTAAAGGTAGGAGCCCCGGTTATGTTATTATGCAACATCAATCAAATAGAAGGATTGTGCAATGGAACACGATTGATTGTCACGTTACTTGGAACATGGTCTGTTAGAGGTGACATTATTTCAGGAACTAATAAAGGAAAAAATGTCACTATTTCAAGAATAATAATGTCGCCCAACGAATCAAAATTACCATTCAAGCTTAATCAACATCGAATACCGTTGGTCCCATGCTTTGCTATGACAATTAATAAAATCCAAAGACAATCTGTAAGTCGTGTTGGCCTATACCTCCTGAAACGAAACAATACATCAGTTTTCTTATATTAGCATATTTAAATATGTACTTATATTCACATATAATTGCATAATATTCCAATTTGATAGGTTTTCACACATGGACAACTATATGTGGCTGTTTCACGAATGACATCGCATGAAGGATTAACCATAATAAATGCTGATGAAGAAATGGAACACCGTACACTCATAAAAAAACATTGTCTACCATGAAGTGTTCAATAACATCCATCCATCCACCGAGTAGATAAGGTAATATTTTACTAAGTTTATATATTCATATTCTCTAAAATCCAACTTCTATTATTTCTTTCCATGTTTATTATGATTCTCTCTAACGCCTATAATGGTTAATGCAATTCTATTCTACATCGTATACAAGAAAATCTTCATAAAAAGCTTCATCGAGGATTAGAATATATTGAAGATAGAGATGGATGATAAATGATTGAGTAAGCATAGAAGAAGAGGCTTCGACTACTGACCAAGTTGAACCATATGCATATATAGCGATCTACATAGGTTATTTTGGTTTATCTTATATGTTTCTTTATATATTAAAATGATTTTATTTTCGTTATTATTTTCTGGTATGAAAGATGTTTTCTACTTACAATACCGCGCAATGCGCGGTTCTCATACTAGTTGTAATAAATGAAGACCAGAGATGAAAAACGAAAATTTCAACAAACCATTTTGGTGTCATTAATGCATTTTCTTACATAATGAATTCTAATTAATACAAATCACAAGTTGCAAAATCATCAAATCAAATAACAATGCATTTAATTTTGAAACGTTTTTAAAATATCTCAAAAAAAAAATAGTTTAAAAAAATATTATCAATCCAACTCTACTCAACTCATTTTAAATCACCTTTTCCAGTGTAACCTATACGTATTATCATCATCATCCAACCCATCGTCGAATAAAATACCAACATTAATAATATATATATATATATATATATATATATATATATATAAAGAAGCAAAAGAAAGTGAGAGACAATATATAAACAAATTAAAGGATCAAAAGCATGGACAGCATAAGTAATATCAACAAGAAGCCTAATAAACAACGTACGACAATGAAATTATATGTGACATTCGGCTACCATATTCTTTTTCTACGTGTAGACCCCGTTAATCTAAGATAATCTTGTCTTTCTTTCGGAAAGGGCCACAAATAATAATATACTTTTTGAAATACAATATTACAAATTAATTAACGAAATCGAAATTACTAGAAAAATATTTAAACTCTCTACCATGAGTCTCAACTTACGACCACACGTCTAATTAAAATGTTATGTAATATTTTTGTTCCGACTCTCATATCAACCGATGAAATATTCCTTATTTTTTTAAAGACTCTTTTGAAGAATGATTTGAAGGATTTTATATTCTCACAATTTTATCAATAAGTATTTAATAAATTGTAAGACTAATTAACGTTTAATTATTGTGTATTAATAAGCAACTAATTGCGTATTGATTGCCAGTTTGCTTTTTCGTAAAGCACCCTGTAAGAAAGGAAAGTAGACTTGTAGACGGCATCTCGTTCACATTTTGCCACTATATAGCGACTTAGATTTATGAGCAAACACATGACTGCAATGCCCATAAACTTTTTCTCCACCTGTTAGATTTCTTTGTTCATTATGAAACCACCACAATCGATCATGTGGTTTGCATTTTTCTTGTTTTCTTTAGTTTCTTTCTTGCATCGTACATCATGTTCTTCGGATTCTTCTTTATTGCCTACGAATCTGTTGGATTCCATGGATGGGTTTCAGAACTACACTGCAATATCCGATTTTCGGCTACTGAACAGAAGAAAGCTAGGAGCTTGCCCGAACCCCAACCCTTATATTCAAATACAAGTAAGCTCAACATCAGAGCTTTCAGATGACCAGATGATCACGGTCACGGTTAGCGGGGTACTTCTTCCTTCCAAGAGTGATTGGATTGGTATGATTTCACCCTCACATGCTGAGTAAGTAATATGTTTTACTATTTAATTAGATTCAATTATATATGTATATATATATATATATATATGTTTGTGTATGTATTGTTTGTAAAAATAATGGGGTTCTTCAAATGGCATGCAGTGTCAATGCTTGCCCGCAAAACCTGATTCTGTATCAGCAGACGGGTGATCTGAGTGTACTACCGCTTCTCTGCCATTATCCTGTGAAGGTAAGCACTAACAATTACATGTATTCGTTTGAATATTTCAGTTTTTACCGGATGATGTAAAATAAACTCACCTCTCTGTTCTCTATATGCTAATTAGATCTTTATTAGTTTCACATTAACACCATTATTACTTGGTTGATCTCAATGGTACCACCTTTTATTATGGTAGGTATCAAACAACTACAAGGTTTTCTTTTCCTTTTTCTTGGGAAGAATTTCAGTAGGAACTTAAATATGTAATTACATATTTGGGCAAAAGTTGATTACAAGCAATCCTAACCGGTCCCACACGTAACTCGTCTTACAGGACAACAATATGAGGGGACATTTTTTAGCTCACTCAAAACAAGGCCTGGATCGAACCTAAGACCTGTTATATATTTGAGTAAAGTCTTTCCATTCTTTTGCCAACTGACTTACATGCGATAGACTAATATATTTAATTACATATTAATAATTATTAATGCATGTAGTGATGATATTGATGGTACTCCACAAATTTTCTAAATTATACTTCTTATTCAAGGTTTTTTAAACCAAGTATTTAATTATAACTCAGTCGTTTTTCTTATTGATTATATATCAAATCAAATATGGAAATTTATTAAAATAGTTATTTCTCATGATTGGTTTTACTTATTAGCTATTTTCTTTTCAAGTTTACCAAAATAGTCATAGGTCTGAAAAACTCGCATCCCAATTGCCGATCCAACTAAAAGACAATTTACACCTACTACCCCTGTTTGTAAAAAAAATTGCATTTTTCACCCGGGTCTACTAAAAAATTTACATTTCTCACCTACGTCTGCAAAAAAATAGATTTTCCACCAGGTCTGCAAAAAAAAATTAGATTTTTCACCGAAGTCCGCAAAAAAAAAATCGCAGACATAGGGTATTTTTAGTAAACCTTGTAAAGAAGTGGGTAAGAGGTGAAACCAACCGATAACAATGGTTATTTCAATTAATTTCCCAATCAATTATTACATAATTTTGAATCAACGGAAGTAAGAGTTTAGACTTGGTATCACGTGAGACCAACCTATTTTTGTGAGACCTATAATACCACTCTTTTACATTTAAAATTTCACAGCAAAATACCGTGAAGGTAACCTTCACATTGTTTTTGCCATGAAGGTTCGAAGGTTTTTTACCTTCATAATATTTTACCGTAGAGTTTTTAATGTAAAAATGTATTCTCACGGATGTCACGAAAACAGGTTAGTACCTAAGCCAATAAGTGTTAATCTTTTTTGTTTGTCAGAAATTAGAGGCCGGAATGAATAAGCGATGCTAGGCAGAAGTAATATATTCCAGTCATGTTCCTATCAAATTTCAAGAGTTACATAACACCCATACTACTTGCACTATATGTATATGCATGCATGTGTGTATATATAGAGAGAGAAGATGTTCAAACAAGAACTTTGTCATATAATAAAATATATGCAAAGGACCAAATCATATACGATTATATGGTAAATCACATAATTTACAAACACACCCAGAAGGACATGAATGAATGACTGATCAAATGGTCAGGATCACCAGCCATACATATATTTTTTTGTCTGTCGATCAACATGAATTATGCCATACATATATTTTTTTGTTTGTCGATCAACATGAAATAAGCCATACATATTATTTTTTGTTTGTCGATGAACATGAAATATGCTAGAAAATTTACACAAGAATTTGAACTAATTGTGCCACAGTTGAGTGTTTTTGTCCAATCGCTACTAGGAATCCAGAAAAATTTATACATAGAATTTCGGTTCTTAGTTAAAATAAGTTTAATTATATGCATGCAGCTAAATAATTAAATCTAAATAATTTGACATATAATTTAGCCAAATATATTCAAGGTTGTAGATGGACATGGCATAAGACTTGGTTTCCTTTATTCTTTGACTTCACCATAAATTTTGTCTTTTTTTTTGTTCTTACAAGACTATAGAAGCTCATGATTTCTTTAAATATAAGCCTCAAGAAGCTCACATGTACATCTGTGCACATAATGCACTCTTAATGCTTAGATCAACTCCTGCAACAAAAGTAGAACTCTTCGGTTTTGAAGTTAATTAATTGCTAGATCATTCTTAGTTGGGTAAATATATTAGGAAAGCAAAACCAGAAGAGGGGTTTTAAAATTATGTATTGCACTCACCCGAAAAGATAGCAGACATATTGGGAATTTCAGTTTCCGGCCTTGTTCCTGCCTGCCAGCATCTCTTCTTTGGATGTGCGTGAATAGAAATAACACAGTAATGCATGATGGGGGATGTATCTCTTTTCTTCATTTCTATAAAGGATCTCATTGTTAATAGGATGAGTCATGGAGGTCAAGTTTTATCCAGAAAATCCTACACCACTAGATTGATGTTGAGTGGTCCAAAATCTATGCGATGAAAAAGAAAGTCTCATCGTATATTTTATATACAAAAAGGCCTTATCATATATATATATATATATATATATATATATATATATAT